AACCGTGATTATCAAACTTGATTATTACAATGATAATGGTGTGAGAGCAAGGTTCTTTAGTCCTTGTTTTAATGATGTCAAAACTAGTAATATCTTGTATTTGTGTACTTTGGACGGTGTCATCGCGTCTTAGATTGCATTCAGTCTCAATATCCATATAATAATCCACATACGTGTGTCTATGCATATAGTATCATCCCATATATGAAAATTATACTTTAGATCATGTTAGATACCTTGGGTCAACTCAAAAAGGGCTTTAGGTTGACTCAAATACCTACAAAAATATGTTTGTAGCATTCTTGTGTCTATTCGTCGACTCACAGAAGTGTGGAGGTCGACGTATGTTGTTGCATAAATTAATTGTTGCTCTCGGGTGTCCTTGCGTCGACCCACAGATGTGTGGAGGTTGACGCATACTGTGAAGAATAATCCTTTGCTTTCAAGTTCCTTTGCATCGACGCATAGCCTGGTTTAGGTCGACGCATGGTGTGAATTCATGCGCAGATTTGCATTCAGGTGTGCTCTGGTCGACTCTTGGAGTATTGAGGTCGACCTCTCGCTCACTTAAACACATTTTTCTGATTCTTTGTGTTTCAAAAAGCTGTTAATTCAGTTTTTTGGTCTTGGTCTCATATATATTGATATGCATCATCTTTTGTACTAAAAATAGAACAAGAAAAGTGAAAATATACATTGAATTTGCTCATCATCTTCATTCTCACACTTGCATTCTTCAACAACTACACATAATTATTTTTGTTGATCTATGCATTGTTGAGGTGATAAAGTCAAAACTTAGGATTTGTATATCGTTGTTTGGATTGAGAATTTAGTGGATTTTTCTTGAATAAACCTTTTGTAAGAACAAGAATTGTCTCTGCAAGATTATCTCTATGTTTTGATGATAACAATGAAGTATTTGTGAAAGAACTATTTTATGTTCTAATGTTTGTTATGTGCAGATCACGTTTATTAAAGATATCAGATCAAACAAACAATATCAAGATGTGCATTTAATACAATATGAGAGTTACTACGTGTGACGTGTCATAAAGCGCTTATTGAAGAAGCAAGTTTGCGTCTGTATCTGATCACGATCAGAAAGATCCAAGGATGTTGTATATTGCTGTTGCAATGCTCCTGTGGATTCTTCTCTGAGAAATGCATCTGATCTGAAAGCAAACAAAGCTTATTGAAGAAGCAAGTTTGCCTCTGTATCTGATCACGATCAGTAAGATCCAAGGATGTTGGATATTGCGGTTACAATGCTCCTGTGGATTCTGCTCTGAGATGTGTATCTGATCTAGAAGCTACCAACGTATCTGAAATATAATCCTCTGAAGAACTATGTGCTAAAGACTCTGATGACTTGAAGCTCTGAAGGCTGAAGGCTCTGAAGTCCAAGTGCAAAAAGACTCTAAAGACTAGATTCTGAAGTTGAAGATTATATAGCTTCACCCAGACAAAGACGTGTTAATCAGATAAGTTGTTGTTATCCACTCTGATAAACAAGGTGCTGAAGTCAAACAACTATGATGTTATTATGCTATCATACAAAAGTAGTTTCTGAACTACTCATCAGATACATCATCAGAAGAACCAAAGCCAGAAGCTGATTTGTCCAAGCTGATAGCTGAAGATCAAATCATTTGTGGATAAGAGTTGTCTCCCACAATGATATATTAACGTTACAAGAAAAGGACAAAGAAAGTGATGTCACTTTACTATCCAACACGTGCTTACTCTATCCGTTGGAAATGACCGTTGGAATATTGAAAGGACATCTCTACCCTCACAACGACTCTCTTGGATGCACTATAAAAGAGGAACATTTGATTCATTCAAATGTTAGCAACGTAGCTGACAAGCATGTTAACAAGCTAGTTGATTAACATGAAAAGCTTTATGCTAAGAAGCCGCAGTGCTCACATAAGAAAGCTTTTAAGCAATATGGAAACTAGTGTTCTAATAATCTCGTAGAGATTTATCCTTAGATTAGTTTCTATATTAGGAAGCAAGGAGTTGTTGCTCAATACTTGCCATGTACTTTAATTAGGAGTAATCTGCTTGATAAGAAGCACTCATGTAATCTCCGGTAACACAAATTCAATTTAGAATTGGTGGTTCCTCAAGTGATCAAGTGAAGATCATAATGCTTGAGAAGACGAGTGGCGGCTGTCATCGTGATTGAAATCCTAACAGCAGATCTTGAGGGATCGGATTCTGTTAGCTCAATGAATGTTATATCCTTAGGGATCACTGAACGTGTCATTGTTTGATTATTAATCACCTGCAGTTTGCTTGTGCATCTGTAATCAGTTTGGTTATAGTGGATTAAGACCTCAATTGAGAGAGGCAAAATCACCTTTGAAGGGTGGCCTGGATTAGCTTGATAGTTGCTCAAGTGAACCAGGATATATCATGTGTTCTTTACTTGTGTTATGTTTTACTAATTATGCTTCCGCAATGCATCTTATAGAATCTCTTAAAGCAACAAGTGAAGAGGCGAAAAATTTTAATGAGTGAAAAACCCAATTCAAACCCCATTTTCTTGTGTTTTTCTCACACCTTCACCTTTGGGGTTTTGTCCTCCAAGATCTTGAGGATTTGGGGGGGGGGGGGGGGGGTTGCACAAATCTTTGTCTCACAAGTTCAGTCGGGTGAAAGGTTTGAAGAATGGTGGATTCGTCCAAACAAGTAGCGGTAACCGGAGGATTGTGTCGAAAAATTTGGGGTCGAACGTCTTGTGATCAGAATCAGCTGAGTGAAAGGCTTGAAGAATGGTGGTTTCGTTCAAGCAAGTAACGGTAATCGGAGGTTTGATCGGAGAGTTTAATGTTCTTGATTCGGCTTGAATCAAGGAGAGAGAAGTAGATAGAATCAACATCGACAATTGGGTTTGAGTGTGTGGTGGCTATAACTTCTCTTGTACAAAACTTTGCAACTTGGTATTTTATATATATATATATATATATATATATATATATATATATATATATATATATATATATATATATATATATATATATATATATATATATATATATATATATATATATATATATCAATTCTAGTTTTATAATTGGGGACAGACGTACCCGAAGCGAGAACGAAAATATGACTGCCTAAACAAATCTGGTGTCGTTCTCTCTTTCTCTATCTCTTTACTTTGTGTTTATTACATTTGTTTGATATCAATTGTTTGATAAATTTCCATTGTTGTGTAGTGCTGAAAATCTGTTTTGAGAATTCATTACAATCACTTGAATTGTAATTGTAAAAAATTTTGCACTATCATTTTATAGGAAATTCAACTTGGGGTGTTTTGCACACCAAGTGTTCGGCGTATTGATCCCACACAAATTGTGTGAATTTATCAAGTTAATTTTTACATTCTATAATTCATTGGGAACCGGTTGATACAAAGTGATCATTATTTATATTGATAAATTGGAAACGTATTGACTCGTTTTCTCATTGATTTTATTCCATTTGACTACGCATATCCGGTCTTACCAATAACGGTTCGTTTAGACGATTAAATCTACAGCTGCTTCCGCACAATTTTGAAACAATTTTTAAGCGCCGATTTTTGTTAAAAATTAGTGATCTATTCAACCCTTTTCTAGATCATTGTCATCGTCTAACAAAGGGTTCCTCCCTATTTATAAATTTAGGTTAAGTCGCATCTCAAGCTAAAGCCCAAACTATAAAAGCACAGAAATATATAATCTAATCTTTCTAAATCAAATCTGATCTTTCTAAATCAAATCTAATCTTTCTAAAACAATGAATTACATATTTAACAATAAGGTCCATAATGATCTAACCCTTGTATAAATATAAGGTTTCTAATCTCACGTTATTCACATTTGTCTGCTTTAACAATGTGAACATTCACTTGAATTTAAGGTCACATAATACATCTCTCTTATAGATCTAAAATTCATATTGGAGAATCTCATACAATAAGACAATCGAAGACTTGTGAAACTCGAGTACCGTCCACCCTCAATTGACAATAAAAGAAATATTAGATTCAACAACTTTGAGCTGAAGACAGATGAAGATTTAAGGTTTATGTGTAGTTCATTTCACCATTATGAAACAAATGATCTGATTCTAATCAAGCAAGATGCAAAGATTGTTAGATTGACCGAAGATATTCTGAAGATGTTATAATGTCGAATTGAAATATAATAGTAAATCTATATTACATATTTATGTTACGATTGTCTATGTAATGTGGTGTATTTTAATATTAATTTATGCATTTCTTCACCTTTTAGCATCCATCTACTATTGATTACTATTGATTTGTGGTTTGAGTTAACAAAGTTTATTCCATATATGCATATATGTAACCTTCTTTGAGTTTTGAAACAAAAGTTGTTATACAGATGCACCTTCGATAAACTCTAATATAGTTGCGAAAATGCATTTTCGAAAACATTTTTAGACAACATGGGATGATTCGCCCAAAAAAGCATTATGTGTTTGTAATTTGAATGTGCTCAGAAATGTATCTCTGAAATCTAATAATAGTTATGACTTCTCATCGTGGTGAAGTAACACGGAATAAAATAATACATTACTTAATTAAATTTAACAAAATAACACAATTGAGTGTCTCTTAAAATGGCAAATTTATTCTGACTTGTTAGAGACGAACTAAGAATTTATACTCACACCTTTAATATGTCAATAATGTCCTAGTCCGTTTTTCTTTAGATTTTACATACACAAACATTAATATAAAATTTATACTTTTAAAATTTTAAACTCGAATCTCAACTATCCAATGTTATTTATTTTTTTCTTTCAGCAAGATTAAAAGGGGGCGGATATGTCTAGGATCCATCATCCGCACGTGGATTTTTGTGTGTCTCACAATTTCACATGACGAATGAATCATCACGGTCGTAGGGAACAGAGAAGAAACGACCCGGTCTCAACAGTGCAAGCAAGGAGAAGTCTGAATTCTGAAAAACTGTACCATGTTTTCAATTGCAACCACAACGGCCATAGGCACTTTTTCAACAACTCCAGCTTTGAATCGCACTGCTGGGCCCACATTTTCCGCCAATTTTACTCCCAGAACCTTCCTCGCAACTCCACTCTCTTCCAATCACTTGTTCTCCAAACTCCCTCGCACTTCTTCTAAGCGATCCCCAACTTCCCGTCACTTCAAGCGTTTTTCTCCTGTCATGCAGTGGCAGGATTGCACGTAACTAACTCCTTTACTTTTCACTTTTTAATCACTTATATCAATAATCACTTAATTGCTACAACCGGTTAGATGTTTGTTTATAGTTACTATTTCATAGTCCTCTACTAGGGATGTCATTTATTGGTGGTTTTGCTATTTTTTTTCTTTCTTTTAGAATTAGACCCCAACATTGTAAGAACAATTTGTGACCCAAATCTCTCTGGAAGTTGCAACAATTTGTTTAATCGATACAAATTGTGACCCAATTCTGGCAGATATTTTGATTCCGGCTAATGATGGGGCTATAGCATCAATCTGATTAACTCGTAACAGTTTGTGTTATTAATGTTGTATATTTTTCTATAGCATCAATCACAGCTTCCCACTTTCAATCAGTGTTGCGGATGGCGTGGAGAGCCAAAATCCCGCCATACTAGCTGCTTTGTGGCGTCGTTATAGCGGATTATGGCAGAAAAACTAGCAATATTAGCTAATATTTACCATTCCGGCTGGTTCAAAAACTGCCATGTATATCTGCCATAGTGGATATTTGATAACACTGCTTTCAATGAAAAATGAGTATTGCCAACTGCAGGGTTAAGAAGGAGGTTGATGTGCCGGTCTCTGTAGCATATGCTTGTTATTCTGATCGTGAAGCCATCCCAGAATGGATGCCCTTTATTTCCACTGTTAAGGTGTGCTTTCTTTCCTTCTAATTTATGAAAGAAATGAAACCCTTTAGCTTGCAGAATCACGGCATGCTGCATGCAAGATGCAACCTTGCCTCTTTTCCTGTCAGGCTAGATTAACTGCATTTTGATGAGGATATCTCAATTCACATTAGACAATATTGAATTTTATAGGCTATTTGTAACACGAGGAAACACACAACATATTGCTTCTGCATGTTTCTCTTTAGTAAATCAAATATATAGCTTGTTTGCTTGAAGTTATGCAATCTTCATTCAAATATAATAAAATGTAACAAATAAATTTTGATTTTGTGCAAAACGTTGGATCCATTTTGCAGATATTGCCAGACAAACCTGACTTGTCGCGATGGTCCTTGAAGTATAAGGCATTTGGTCAAAATATTGAGTTCTCTTGGCTTGCTCGCAATATGCAGGAAAAGATTGTCTACCTAATACTTTTGTTTCTTTTTAAAAATGTTATTTATAATTGATATATTTTATTCATGTTTCATCACCTTCTTGCAGCCCACTCCAAATCAGAAAATTCATTGGCGATCTCTGGAAGGTCTCCCCAACAGGTAACTGACAATGACATTTTTTGATAAGTGAATATCATGTGGTTGATTTCCTTTTCTGTGGGGATTTTTTATTCTTCAACATTATAGAGACAATTAACCTGTAAGACACTGAGAAAAACTCCCATACACATTTCTTCATTAATTGTCCTTGGTATAATTATATTGACCTGTCCTTGCATTACTGTAGTTTGGCTTGTCAACTGTTAACCTATGTATTTAAACCAGCTACACGAAATGAACTTGATGATGTGCTCAAGTGATTTACAAAATTAAAATAATTGACAAAATCTTACATTTGCCATTAACCTTTGTTTCGTGAACCAAAAAAAAGGCTAAAAAGAGAAGAAAGGGGTATGGGGGGATTAAGTTTATCAACTATAAACCGTGATATGAATGTGTCTGTCTCATTCATAGTAATTGTTGCCATACGTCCCTTTCTTCTTTTGTTTAATTTCCCAAACATACTATTAGGTTACTCTTGATTATGCTTAATTGGCTGAATTTACTTCATGAAGTAGAATTTGTACTATTTTTTCTGCTGAGTAACGAAAAAGAAGGAAACTAGTGCCCAAAGTAAAAAAGCTGAAAACTTAGTATTTGAGTAAAGTAGTAAAGGTCACTCAAAAATAGTTCGTTTCAATATATATGCTAGGAATTTAATACCATAGTCCTTGGCAGGTTCTTATAGCAGTATCCATTGTTTATGCCCTAAGAATACACACTTTGAGGTTTCTATTCTTAGGGCTTGACTTGATATGTGTAAGTTTCTACACTATAATACTGCAGAATCTCTTGTCTTGAGGAAATAAAAGGCATTTAACCTTATAGCAGTGAAATGTTCCAATTAGCAATCAAGGTAGAATTTTAGTGTGCCATTTAACATATGATTGTATTGTCATTAACACCTGTACTTGGACTAGAAATCTATAGCTGATTCTAGCAATGTTTGCAAAATTTAATGCTTCAACCATGGTTAAAGAATTCCTAGCTGTATCTTTCTTCAAGCCATTTATTGGCTAGAAAACACATTCTGCATAAGCATGCTTAACACTACTCTTAATCTAATCTCAATTTCTCATTTGGCAGAGGCGCGGTACGATTCTTTCCAAAAGGTCCCTCTTCATGCATAGTAGAAGTAAGGCCTTTCATACAGTTTATACTAATTTCACCTTTTTTATATTGACAACAATTCAATCTTTCTTGTACAACTGTTGCCGACTTACTTTGATCCCATATTTAGGGGGGAAATTGGATTAGCCAATACCAATTGTAAGTTTCTCAATGTAGCATTCGGCCAACTAGCTGCATCACTGATTCACTGCATGTTCCTATTGGGCCAAATAATCGCCTATCTTTATCAGTCCAGTGCATGACTAGGTGGCACATCACATGTATCCACACGACAGTTTTTTCCACGCTTTTAACTTCTAGTAACATGAAATTAGGAAAGCTTAAAAGTAATAGTAGATAGTGATTTCTCCTTTTTCCCCCCTTCCTGGTCCCCATTCAGCCTTTTAGTCAAGCACTAACTATTGCATTTTTGCATTTTTGCCATTACAGCTGACAGTTTCTTATGAGGTTCCTCAACTTTTATCTCCAGTGGCATCCGTAAGTAATCTCACCTTTATAAAATGTATAGTTCTTGATAACTTTAGTTGACAAAAACAGTAAAGGAATTCTCGTTTTTCATTATTTGGGGATGTATGAAAAGTAATAAGACAAGTGGTAGATGCTTTCCTAGTTTTTTTCATTTGGGATCCTGCTCACCTAAAGTGAGATGCTCACTTTAAAATGTCAAACATTGATAAACAAATAAGTGGTTGTTAATATTTAATTTTGATTTTTTTCACTTTATTAATTGCGCTCACTTTAAAGAAGTTAAATCATTCATTTATCTAACTTTACACCCAGTTATAATGGACTCTTACCAGTGTTACATCTTTAAGAACCCTTTGTAATGGTATAATCTGCAGGCACTGCAACCTTTTCTTGAAAGCTTACTTCAACGTGGTCTGGAAAGATTTGCTAATTTCGCAAAAAGCTACAAATGATTGTCCTCATTTTTAGGACTACATTTCGGAAAATGAATATACGCAATTATTTCTGTCCAAACACTGATCGAATTTCACAAAGATTTGGGTATGGTTATCATGCCAATCATGGTTTTGAAGCAAAACAAACACATCAACATAATGCAGAAGAGATGTTCTTAAACCCTGCATTTCCAACCTTGCGGTACTGCTGTAGATTCAGATACACTATCAGGATCTGCTACGCTTCAAGGCCTAGGATTATTTCTCTGTATTTTTTGAACTTAGTAATGTATACATTACTTACATTTTTTAGATTTAGATCTACCTTTGTCAGCTCCTTTAAGTCATGTGCCCAGACTAGCTGTACATCATGTCTTTCTATACAATAATGCGAATGAATCTTAATAAAATACCCATTTATCATGCAATGGCTGTAAAACAAATATATTCAGAACAAAATTTTATTGATACACAAGAATATGATATGAATGTGGCGGTCATTGTGGAAAAAAAATGACTAGTACAAAATAATAATGTAAAGTATTACATATCTACACCACCATCCTCTAACCCTGGGCTATGTACAACAACAGACAACGTGAAAAAATGATGGCTGCTTTTTCCTACGCCTAAACTGAAGCAGTCAAAAACAGCGTATGTAACCTCCACAACACTTTATTTAATGAACTGTCTATACATTCAGTTGTTAGCACTTCCTTCCAACAAATTTCTCAAGCTACAAAGAGCCTCTGCAGAGAGGCTGCAGCATCTCAGTTTCCGTTGGGGAGGTGGGGATGGCTCTGACTCCCCATGGTCAATGGAAGAGAGACATATAATGATCACCGTAAGATTGTCGAATGTATTGAGACGTAATGCCTCCATAACTAGATCCCTTGCGCACTTATCTGGGTCATCATGCCTCCTCAAACCTTTACGTACAAGGCTAACTGCGTGCTGGCTTGACATCACATCCCAGATGCCATCACATCCTATGATGAGGAATTCGTCGTCATCTGTGAGAACCATTTGACGGAACTCGGGTTCTGCAATCAAAGGCGAGGGAGCACCCCTAGGTAACTTCATGTCCCAGTCCCCTAATGCTCTGGTAACTGATAAAACGCCATTTAGGTAACCATCTTCTACATAGCCGCCCAGTTCTTCAACTCGTCTCCGCTCTAATGGATAAATAGGCCGGTGATCTTGAGACATATCAATGGCCTCTCCTTTACGACTGAGAACTGCTCGACAGTCACCAGCATTGGCCACCATTAGAAGTCTGAAAAAAGCATATAAGAAATCAGTCAAACAAACATTCAGGGAGGCTGTCTCTTCTCCATAGCTAATGCAACAATAAAATTTCGTTCTTTTTCGATTAAGTGAGATTTGCTACCAAGATCATACAATGTCATAATATCCTATCATTAATCATATCTTAAATTCAAATTCTTGAGAACTATAACAAATGTAGGAAAGAGACAAACATAAGATAGTGGAGTGAAAAGATAGATGGACCTACCTTCCAAATATCATAGCAGTAAGAGCTGTGGTCCCTGAAGAAGTGTTCACACTGCAATCATCAGCCATAGCCGAGTCCGCCAAAAGAAAAGCCTTTCTGAGGGAATTCTCAACCTCTTGTAAAAACATGTTATCAACTTCAGATGTCTGAGGGAAATTGACATCCTCAAAGAAGAATTTTATAACATTTTTTCTTATATAAGCTGCTGCTTCAGGTCCTCCATGGCCATCAAACACCTGAGACATTTCCCAAAGCTCAATTAGATTTCAAATGAGATTAACTAAAAACAAGAGACCTAGGTGAAAAAGATAATTACCCCGTAAAAGGCACTTGGTTTAGGAAACTTATATAGTGATCCTAGATGAGAAGTCAAATCATCTATCCTTATATGTTCATCTTCCATGTATCTTCGTGGCCCAATATCGGAAAAACTACCGGAACGGATGCAGGGGACAAATTGCAGAACTGCAGCTTCTGAGATTATATCTGCAGTCTTAACATCCTACACCAGAACAATTAAATGAGAATCAGAAAAGAAAAAAAAACTGCCAGCAAGAATCTTTAATGCAAGTTATACAACTAACAGAGTTCTTATTCAATAAGAATAGCTACCCTTAAGCTCTCAAGTCACATTGCAGAGCAGTTAGTTTTCCATGCATGAACAACTATAAACATTTTGACTACACATAATCTCAACAGTGAAGGCACAATCATATCATAATCACAATTTCCAAAATCTAATGCGAAATCACCAACATCTTAACCGATCTCAGTATCAACAACTAGGCATATCTATAAGCACAATTGAAAGAGAAATCTTCACAAAAAAATTGGGATCATCATAAAAACCGATTGAACTAATTGTTCCCAAATCAAAAACAAGTAACAAAGAAGTAAACAAACCATACGAATTATCAAATTCATAAGATCAATCAATCAATAATTCAATACATAAGCAGATTACTGATCCAAAAAAAAATTCAAATTTGCTTCTTTTATTTCAGTTAGAACCTCGATCCTAAAGAGAAGTCAAAGAATTCACGCCACAAGCGAAGAGAAAGAAACCCATCAAACCCAATTAGCATCTACATAACCCAACAACACAAAATCACGAGAAAAAGAAGAAATTTCGAAAAGGGTCTAAAAAAACTAACTTCTTTTGTAGTAAGTAACTCAGCGGAAACTGATTCAGAAGCACGAACTCGATCAAAATTCGAAGGCAAGATAGCATCAGCATCACCGATCTCATGAATATTGCTTCCTTTATTCGGAAAATACTTCACATCCAACACCCCCACGCTTTGTTGACACACCACCTCTGCTTCAGCCACCATTTTCTCTGTTTTTTCTTCTTCTAATAATCTTGGCGTTTTTACCAAACAATAACCGATTGAAATTTCAACGTTTCAGAGAGCTGAATTTCGTCAATTGTAATCAGAAAAGATTCGATTCGATGCTAACGATTTTATTATCTTGCTTAATTTTTTTTTCTGTTGAGGTTTTCTTGCGAATTTTCTCGCAGTTTCTATTTCGATGGAAAATAATGATCAATAGTTTCTACAACGCTTGTGTTGAAAAACCATATAAGTGGCTATGGTAGGTACTGGCGGCTACCGGTAAACTTCTTCGGATGACGGACACGTGTACTTTCATGAACCATAGGATTCTTGAGAAGCGCTTGTCATGCACGCGATGAAACGACGCGTGGCTGTATTTTCAGGCTGACGCGTGACTTTTGACGTGTTGGAGAGTTGTTATGTTGGAAAGACGGAAATGCCCTTATAGGTATAAGTTCGGAAGTTTGACTTAATCGATTGTTTGTTTACAGTTGGGATAGGGGTAATTTAGGTATTGGACTAGCGCCGACCGAGTATCTTAATCTGCTTCTGTGTTCAGACTTGCTGACGCGTTTCTCATTCCCACAACTACTGGTGACGTGTGACATGGCTTCACCTACGCTTTTATTTATTCCTCCTCTATTTCATTTTTAGTGCCAAAAGATAAAGTTAGAAGTTTAATAATGAGCGTATAGTTGATTTCACTTCAATAGGATTAATTTAGTGGAATACATATTCATGAATTTCAATAAAAAAAAATAATTAAAGATATATTCATGAATTTCAATAAAAAAATAATTAAAGATAAAAGTTTTAAAATAATATATGTTGGCAATGTAAGATACTATCACACATATTCATTCAATCGGCTTAATTTAGTGGAATACATTTTTCATTAGTTGAAATGTAAAAATATTTTACAGCAGATTTTTTATCTTCTAAATGTAATGTGGTTTATATTTTAGTATTTTAATTAAAGATGATTTATATGAATTATATTGTTTGAATAATTTAGATAAAAATTATTTTTGAGTGAATATTTAATAAAACAAGTTTAAATGATAATAAAAAAAAGTGTAAGGGAAATTCCACTCTAGTAAGCTTTATTACCTCTAATCTAAATTATGAGACGTTTTAAACATTTCACACGAATTAATCAGTCCTAAATTATAAGATATTTTGAGCATTTAACACGAATTAAAAAAAAAACGTAATTATTACTTTAGGAAAAAGACAAATTGTGTATAATAAATATCGAGTTGAAAGAATATAATAATAATTAATATTTTAGGGCATATTAGAAAAAAAAATTATAAATATTATATTGGAATTGTAAAATGACTTATAATTTAGGACAATTTTTTTTCCAAAATGTCTTAAAAAGAGATTAATGTATGTTTTTTTATCTAACCTGTCGATCAGAAAGCGTGGTTGTTAGAACAAGATTTGTTCTTGATATATTCTCTTTTAGTTTTGATGATAACAAAAGTACTAAAAGAACAATGATTTATTTAATGTGTGTTTTATTTGTGCGGGTTCTTGTTCTTGTACATAAATAATCAGAATCTGTTTTACTTAAGATACACTTGAAGTTGCTTCATTGTTAGTTTTTGGTGGCAGAGTCTGAAGAACAATTTCTAGTGTGATTTGACGAAGACTCTGAACTGAAGGCCTCAGCATTCAGAAGATTTTCTACACTTAGTAATTGTATATCAGCTTCTAGTACCATTCAGAGTTGGTGATAAAGTTGTGCACTATCTGTACTACTGAAAGCATGTTTTATTGTCTTATTAGCCTGTCAGCTCGAGTCTACAAGATTGCAAGGTTCAAGAAAAACTGGTATGTTCTATGGATGTCTGCTCCCAACGGCTCTATTAGTACATAACCTCTTGTAGACTCAAAGGTTAAACGTGTTACACACTGGATTCTGAAATTTGTTGTGCATCCATCTTCAAAGTCTCTTGTACAATGGAGCAAAAGTAAAGACGTTTGATCAAGTCACCTTCTCAACGACTAGTTTCTGGAAAGACTATATATATAACTGAAGATTCAAGCCTGGATTTTTAACAAGGATTCTTTTGTTGAATGAGTAGCAAGATCAATAAATTATCAACTCTATGTAATATGCAGATTTTTTGTTTTAGGTTGTAATTGTAAAATCCTTAAGATTTCTTACCCCTGTATATATTGAGAAATCTTAAGTTCTTTAGGTCTTTGTTATGGTCGTACCTATGATGTGTGCATCATGTACATCTTGTTCTCTATTCTGATGGGCCTTCAGTAGTTTATATTAAGTCTTCTGCTATGTGCTAGAGCAAAAAGTCTTGTCTCATTGAGATTCAAGCAATAAGTCTTGAGTCAAGATGCTTAAGCCACGTAAGTCTCATTGTTTAAGTGCTTGAGTTGTGAAAGTCTTATTCAGCTAGTCTGATTGAGCAAAAAGAAAGTCTTAGACATGTGCTCTAAGCAAACGTAAGTCTCAACTTGAAAACAGATGATCAGACGACTCAGTCTGATGGTGTGAGCAATGAAAGTCTTATATATGTGCTCTAAGCAAAGGAAAGTCTCAACCAGAAGACAAATGACCAGGAAGCTCAGTTGGATGGTGTGAGAAAAGGAAGTCTTAGACATGTGCTCTAAGTAAAGGGAAGTCTCAACCAGAAGATAGATGAGCATGCGGCTCAGTCTGATGGTGGGAGCAAGGGTAAGTCTTAGACATGCGCTCTAAGCAAAGAAAGTCTCAGACAGTTGGTCTGAGCAGTCGTAAAAGTCTTATGTAGAAGCATAAGCGATTGTAATCATGAAGTGATTATAATGAAAAGCTCTTATGAGACAAGGGGACTAGACTACTCTCAGTTAGGGGAGGAACCAGTATAAATCTTGTGTTTCTTCTGTTGTTATTTAATTTACTTCTAACATATCTGCTGCCAACTGAATTATCTCAGAATCTGAACATCAGTTCTGATTTTGAGACTCTGATAAGAAGCTAAATAATAAGAAAACGTGAAACACAATTCAACCCCCATTCTTGTGTACTTTTCTCACCTTCAATTGGTATCAGAGCATGGTATGTACTCAACACTTAACAGTGGTTCAGATATTGATCCAATAAGAAAAGTATATTTCTTCTTCAAGAAGGAATCAAGTGCCACTTGAAAAAATATCATATGACTTATCCTACCATATTCAAATGGGTGATTCCATTTAATTTAAATGATGGAAAAGCTAAACATATTTTTAACTCATTGGACTTGATAAAGGGTTGTTGAAGGTCTATAGAATATCCTTGAAAAGGGTATTACTATAGAAGTTGATGGTGTTATAGATGATGTTTTTGAAAATCTCTTTCACAAACTCAGAAGATGCATATTGAATATCTTTAGAGGTAGTTTCATTTTGGTAGATGCATTATCTCACTTTTGAGTATATCAACATCATTGATATGTATGATGCTTAGACTATCTTTGAAGTCTTGTGCTTGGGTTTATGAGGATCACTTTTTGAAGCTTGAAGTAGTTACACTTCATCTAATATTTTCAAGCAAATTCTGAGAGGACTGATTCTTGACTTAAATCTAAAGTTACAGTTTTTTATGATGTTTACATCCTGAATCTATTGTGCTTTGAAAGTTTGTCTTGTAGTTCTTAAAGAAAAGAAATGAAGTTGGAGGATGAAAAAATTATTCAACAGATCACCTTCTCTTTTTAGCTTAAGTTCTTTTGAATGACTAATGATGAAAAACCTAGGTTTCTTGTCAAAAGGACTTACATACTAGCTAAATGGATTGTGATATTTGTTGATAGAAGAGTAAATTCAAGAGCTTCTGAAATATTTGTATTTCAATTGATTTCCCAAATCTGAAAACAAGAAGAAAATTCTACCATAACCTAATATCAAATGTTCTTCATTGCTTAATTGTTTGAAGTTGATATGAGTGCATGATGCAGATGAAAAGAAGCATTTATGTTCTGAAATAAAAATCAAGTATTGAAAAGCAAGAGATGTTGTTAAATCTATCTTGTTTCAAAATATTTGATTATATGGAGTTTGTTCTTTAAGATGATATCTTAAGAAACTCTATTGCTTCTTGGTTGAGGACCATTATGGAAGTTGTTTTAAAAGACACTTCTATGAGAAATCTTCAACTTCTCTTTGAGCTCTGTTAGTTGTACTAAGATAGTACTCTAGCTTTATGTCTATCTATGATAGCTAACGCCATATGGCTATGAGCTTGTCAATAATTTCAAATTCAAAAGATTTAATCTAAGATAATGAGATTATTCTCATTGCTTAGAACAAGATTCTATTCATATCTCATTCTAGACTTACACTCTAGAGTGACTTATGATCTGCTGTTCATATCTTATTCTAGAGTCTGTTTGTACTTACATGTATGGTCTTATAGAAATATGAGTGTCATAATGTATATGCTACAAATATCAAGGAAAGAAGTAGAGGCATCTTCTATAAGGTTGTTTACAACATTGATTGGGAGAAGAGCCAACAACCCAGATTCAAGTACTAGTGGTACTGAATTTGGTAAGAGCAGTGGAATCAGTGGTTAGACAGCCATTGAATCAAAATTCACTCAAAGATATGTTCATACTCTATTTGTCAAGTCTGAATATTGAATTGAGTCTGACCAAACAAAAAATGTGGTATGTTTGTTCTTGTCTGACTTATCTTTTGATTCAATGAGACATTTGCTTAGATATAAATACAAAGTTTCTGTTAGATCTCTAGAGAAGTTTTTCTTTTGAAAAAGAGAACTTCAGAAATATTTAAGAGAAAACTTTGTTGTGTTTGTCTATATTGAATGACTTGTCAAGCCAGATAATGATCACATTTATAAAAACAATCTTCTCACTTTTGTGTTGATACTATTGCTTGTTAGCTGTCTAAAGAAGAAAATTCAATATTCATCTATCGCTCATGACTTTTATTTCAAGATAAAGTGCTAGTTATGAATAAAATCTTAGAGACTTGTGACTGACAGA